CAATCAAAAGAACAAAAACCATATTGATTTTATCCTTCTCGGAAGGCCCGCTTTGACCCGGATGATTTTACATCATACGAGGATTTTGCACCTCTTCCAATATCTGTTATGGTTGCAAAAGAATAAAATTGAGTTAGCGATGCAATGACTTTTTTATTAGTTATTTCTGTGATGTATTCGTTGTGGAAGTTTTAATGGTTGTTTGGTTGGACGTGTCTTCTGCTGGTAATAAGTGAGATTGCGCATTACTTCGAGTCTTCAATTATGGTTGAAATATTTAGGAAATGCCGGTGAAAGAAAAACCGGAGAGGGGATATAGGAAACTTTACGTATGTTATGCAACTGGGAGAGGTTAACTAAAAAATAAAATTTTTTTCGTTGAGTGGACCGTTGAATTGAAATGATATAATTCTGTCATTCGATATTCTAGCAAAATTCCATCTCTTCAAGGAGAATTTAAACTTATCCTCTCCAATTCAGAAAATCACCCTTCTTTCAAATGTTGAAAGTCCAACTCATCTTTACTAGGGAATTAGGGAAATATTTCAACGTCGCAAGTAGCAACTGATGAATGNTCAACGTCGCAAGTAGCAACTGATGAATGTCACAAATAGTAACCGATGAAATAATATCCAAAAATGAATAAGAAATCTAAGTTTGGGCTTAGACTTATGCTTAGCATTAGTTTCATGCAAATAACTAGCGTCAAAGAACCGAGTAACTATTTTCAAAGAAATACAAAACTGTTAGTTTTAAAGATCAGCGACTATATTGTTTCTTCTTTCGTCGTCATCTATTTTTGGAAGAAATTCATCAACTCATTGTTTTTATAGTGACATGAGCAAATCTTCTGAAAAGATGCATTTCATTTGACTGAGATTGCAATTGCATAATTTGGTATAGTAAAGTGTTTCATAGATATCAGAAAAAAGAATTTGATTTAAAAAAATTACTATTTTCTGTAAAGTAAACAGTTATCACTTATCACTATTGAATAATAACATTTTCATTAAAAAAAAATAAAACGCTTTAATATTACAAAGATATCAAATATTCAAAGTTAAATGAGATGGATAATTTCATATAATTTCAGGAAGCACAAACGGTACAAACAGAGCCGTTGGATTTATCGATACGGAAAGTGAGTGAAGAACGAATACAATTGCAGAATTCATTAATTAACGAAACGAATGAGGGACAGACGGAAAGTTTCCCTCAATCATCGCATTTGAGTGCTCATAAGAAGACGCATACCAGTGAAAAGTCACACCAATTGCACGATATTCGGGAAAAAGTTCCTTTCAGTCATAGCATTTGATAAAAAGGATTCAAACCGGTGAGAAGCCGTTGTACGATGTAATCGAAGTTTCTTCTATTATCGCAATTGGGAAATTATGTGAGAACTAATACCAGTGAAAAGCAGACGAAATTTCCTACAATTATCGAGTATGAAAACACATTTGAAGACTCATACCGCTGCAGCCGTACGATCGTTCGCAGTGCGGAAAAAGTTTCTCTCAAAAGTTCCATATCCCAAATAATCAATTTGGGGTATGGAACTTTCGAGATATTTTATTACTTGAAAATTTTTATTTTTATTCATTCAATTTAATTATTCATTCATAATCTTTATCTCTTTTTTTTCCATTTTTTGCTGTTATTGTTATTTCTTACCTGTTTTATGTTTGACATATAAATTAGTATTATTTTTCTGTTATTCATCTACTTTTTCTCTTTACTTATTTAAATGAATACAATTCTCCATATCGTTTATCTGATCGCATACTTATTGAATACACAATCATTGTAGTATTAGTTACGGCATAAATCACTTATATGATTTTGAGAAATGAATTCGTATTGAGATTTAGCAGACCTTATGCATAGACAAGCATTTATGTTCGTTGCCGTGATATAATAGCTCGAATATCATCATTATTATCACTGATATGCAGACTGCTCTGTCAGCACTATTAAAGATCTCTGCGTTATACTTGGCGCAACTAGTTATTTATGACATTTGAAATTTAAATTGGTATGAACTTCGTATTTACAAGATTAAAGCATGAACCGAAATGTTCTATGGCAGGGATTTTCATGCTAAACAATATAGAACTTTTAATAGGCCCATGCTGTAGACATAAAAGTAGCCAAATGGCTGCATCTAATAAAAAATAATGGTTCAAAAAATCAGAACTTCCTATTTTATCATAATTGAAGCCATTATAAGCAACTTTCATCCTAATAAAACAACTTTATAACACAAAAATAAAATAGCATGAAAATGACATGAAGCTATCTAACAAGTGGAGCTTTTAGATTGCATATCTTTTTTCAATGTTAGTAAAAATTATTTACAATAACGAAGAAAATAAAAACTGTAATATTACCAAAAAAATCTACAAAGAAATTACTAAAAAACACGGAAATGAGAATCCTGAGCAATGAAAATTCTGAATATTTCCGATTTTCGGATCAAATAATATTCTTAAAATCAGTTGGATTAAGCAATTTTGGAGCGGGAAGTAAATTCTTTCCAAATCGTGATTCCTGCTGAAGCTGATGCCAAAAATTCTAAGCTTTCACCTAAAAACACGCTTAATATTAATCATGGCCCTCAGAAGTAGCTGAGGGAGATAAATTAAAAGCAACTTGAATTTCAACTTAATTTGACAAGACTAACAAAATTTTAAATTAAGAACAGTTAACAAACCAGAACTACTGGCATAATCAATCTGCTTCTTTAGCTAACTCTTTTCAAGAGGAAAAGATTGAATATTGCAAGCAACTATCAATTTTTATAGTACTTAAAAAAAAAACCATTCAGAAATGGCATATTGGATATGACTCGTTCGTCCGGCGTAAACTCCTTCTTTGCAACAGTTTTAAATGGATACCACTGATCAGGACGATGAGCAATTGCCCAGGGAACCAAACGCATACCTCTAAAAGAAGATATCTGACGTGTACCTGAAAAAATTTTTTCTTCAATAAATTCAATAAATATGATATTTTTCTAAATTTTATTAAAATGACTTTTACTACATCTTGTTTTTTAGTGAAAATATAATTACTAATAACGAAACTATGACAATTTTCAGACCAACAGAAAAATCACGGATCAACAAGCTTCCAAAAAGCAGTGAGATGACACAATAGAAGCCAAAAGCAGCTGAGCGTCTCACTGTTGAAAGATTAAATGTAAATTAATCCTGGACAAAACAGAGTAATAGTTCTGCTAAAGAAAGATACAAAATAAAAACGGAAAATTAAAAAATGTGTGAAACCTTCGAAAGTATTCCATACGATATAAAGTACAACAATGTAAGCAGAATTTCTGCCTGCTTCACCAGGTCCTTTAGCTTCGATAACTGCGGTCACCACGATATTAGCTATATATTGTTCACAATCGAGAAGATCTACCTGGAGCAGGGAAAAATTCAAAAAGTCAATCAATTCATTCAATCAGATATGACAATAACTTCAACTCTAAGAAATGCATTATTTAATGGCGATCTTTCCCGAGTCCTTTACCCAACCCTGCAATTTAAAACGATGAGAGAGATATTGGAATACTGCAAGTAAGAACTTTAATAACTCAACACTGAAGCTATCAGTGACGGCGTAGATATTATCTCGGAAGATAAAGCTAGCCTCATATTCTATCACAAAGTGCGAATGATATCAACACGCACTGTTCATGTAAGACACAACGCATGTTCAGAAAATTAACGTAAAAATTGTGTCACATGCCAATAATTATATTTGAAGAAAAAGTCACTGACACCCAGTTAGAGAAATCTATGAAAATATATCTCAGGGAGACCAGTATAACCATAGCTTCCAAATTACTTCACATGGAATGGGAGATCAAAATCATTTTCAGATAAAAATCCCTTGAAAGCTTCATTCTAATAAAAAATAGGATAAAAATACCTCATAATCAATTAAACCTTCATATTTATAGTTCCCATACATACGGGAAAGAACTACAGGCATAATTTCATACAACAAACGTTCAATATCCATCAGAGTCTCAGTGATGAAAAGCGGCTCACATAGTCCTGCTGGTGAGGGATCTTTGTCTAAAATTTTGGTATAAAATTCAAATTTTATTCATCGAATTAATGAAATCCAAAAAAAGTTCGTGACATTTAAAAGCTTATTAAGATGGCCTCTAAAAACAAAAGATCCACTTTAAAATTTCACAATGAAACGTATGAAAACGTATACGTATGAACTTTTACGTATGAAACTGATGTACAATTAGCATATTGCTCTAGTTAAAATGTACTTGTAAGAAAAAATCACAGAGGGGAAAGAATAAATAAACCTTCAGCAGTCACTCGTTTTAAATGATATTCTCGAGGCGTGTTTCCATAATGTGAGGTTGCATCCTCTACTCTGATATCTTGCGAATTACATCCCTCAAATATTTGTGTTTCACCACCATCCACTATTCCTGGATCAACCACTTGCATTACCTACAAAAAAAGAAAGTTCCTGTTTTTTGCATTCTAGAACACGAGTTGAGGCATTTTACAACACAAATTACTTGTATGCAAAGAAAATTTTTCCACTATTTTTGAATCATCTAATATACTGTATTAATTTATATGGTTCAGAGCATTGGAAATATGATGGAGTTTCAAACTACTCAGCACTCTAAATATATCATTAGAACAATAGCTTACAAAGGAATAAGTTGAATCAGCAAAATGGCAGACTTGAATGCAATATTATATAAGGCATTTTTTGGAAAATTCGATTGAAAAGTTACAATTTTACAACATACCACACGTGACATACGAACCGCTTTCAAAGGAGGACAATTTTTCGTAAACAGATAAGAGATTAGTGCAGTTCCTCCATTTATTATACCACCGTAATCCGTTGAACGCAAAACTGTTCTATAAACAAAAAATGGGATGCTATGACAAAGATTACTCATCGCAAGCTGAAAATGTTCGTAAACTGGTCATTTTGAAATGATTAATTTAATTTCACTTATCTTTATGATTAATCTTTGTAAGTTATTAATATATCCCAACGACTAACAACGGAGGGAGTGAAAAAAGCACTACACAGCAGTCTGATGCCATATAGTAATCAGAGTAGATTAAATAAATAAATTGACAAATGAACAAAAAAAACTTGCATTATTCCACTCGGTTAGTCACATCAGCGTCATTTATATTCTAATCATTTTCTGTTATGGGATAACAAAAGGTAACTAAAATAAGAATAACACAGAACGAAGTTGTGTTATCGACAATTATAAAATAGAATAAAGAGTACCTGGACAACTTTAAGCCATTCCAACGATACGACATTACAAGACATGTGGTCAAAGAAACAGTGATACGGAAGCGAAATAGTATAAATTTAACTTTAGCAATAACAGAAAAGGGTTCCAAATCTCGTCTTGATATAGTTGCATTTCTTGGTTCAGTATTTTGCTTTCTGAAAACCTTTTCTATTGGTTTTTCAAACTAAAAAAAGATGAACTGCAATATGAAACATATGAATTTAATGCGCATCTTCTTAATAGATAATCTTTAATTTACTAATGTCCTGTTTCGAGACAATCGAAACATAGTACAAATGTGATGTAATTGTTGGAGAGTTACCATTGAAATGAAAGGAAAAACTAACGCAAAACCAACGATTGAGATATGCGAAGAGCTATATGGGAATGTCGCATAAACTTTCGCGCTACTTGGCCAGGAAGTAAAATTTGTGATGAAAGCCTGCAAAAGTTAAAATGAAATAGTTCAAACGCACACATTTCATAAAACTCATATATTTTGCAACTTCTAACATCATATAAATTTACCAAAATTCAACAAAATATCAAAATTTTTACGGGTCTAAGCAATGTTGCTGATAATTCAAATACAATAATGTTGAGCTCTGTTTCGTCTTCGTCTTGTCCCACTGAAATGTCACATTTTAAACAAACCATATTTAATACCATAGTTACAATCAAAACAATTCTTCAGTTTTACGTTGATGAGCTCATAATCTTGAAAAAGCGAAAACAATTTACCTGAACGATATGAATCAAGCAATGAATATAGTAAGCCAACTGCATAGCGAGAATCATTCGAAAGACCTATGAAAATACATCTGAAATTTTTAGCTTAGAGTAGAGAACACATTAAAAACTGCTTTCTTGAAATAGTGGTACGCATGACAGTCTGTATCAGCCACCCAATTTCTTCATAAATTTCTAAGCTTGAAACTTCTAAAACGCATTAGAAAAATTTACATTCTATATATGCTGAATTTACGGTTCTAACCTCTAAGGATGCAACCCAAATTATGAATAAAAACATCTTTACGCTCTTTACTTTACAGCGAACACTTACTTCATAGCATTCATAAAATGCTTTAAATGAACTTTGTTCTAAGAAGTAAAGAACATGAAACACACTTCAGTACTAAGATTTAGTATAAAATGCATATGACCCAAAAAGAACAAAGATTCTGAAGCAGCTTACTCTCGAGTAATATCCAGAAAACGTTTAACACCCGAAATTTCAATTAGATAAGGACATTCTAACTGATCCAAGCGTACTCGACAAATCATCCGATTCAGCTGTCGTGCTTCTCCATGCAACTGAAATATATATATCACAATAATATCTAAAATAAATGTCTAAAATTGTACAGTCTTTCCAAACTAACTGAAAATTCAAGCTATCCTTATAGACTTAAATGATAATATTTTCTCTTGCCATATTATTTTACGGCAGTATCGATTTAATAACACTGTTAATCTGCATTAAAACATCAGTATTTGAAAAAGAAAGTTAATGCTTAACTGTGATTTGAAACAAACCTAATCGTCTGATATCGACCTATCAATAAAAACTTCATTCCACAAATGGATGATATTGAAAGTTAATCTTTCATCAATAATAATAGATAAACAAGATAATCTCAAATAAACCGATCAAAAACAAAAGTTAATATATGTAAACATCTCTTACCTGACGACAGCGAATAATTTTAGGCAGTGATGAAGTTACCGATTTCTTTCGCATTAATGACTGCACCAGATGATGCATTCGTGATGTAGTTGGTGCCTGATCATGATGATGATAATGACGATGATGATGATCGGAATGTTTATTAATCGATGACATGGATGACTTCTCATCATCGTTATCATCCAAACTATTCCTTCCCATTATCAATACTTTCCTTCAAAAAATATTATTTGATTGTAATCTTATAACTTTATGTCTCAATGCTCAAATCTTCCCATCCTAGCAATTCGAACCATGAACCTTAATCTATTTACTAATAACAATGAAGTTGTACTTCAAAATGCTATGTAGCATACTTTGGATGGAATCATATCATACGATATTTTGTCAGTCTTCTCTTTAAATCTCTCCGTTCATTACACTATTTCGTTCTCTCTATTTTTCTCACTCCCTCATAACATTCTTATTATTATTATATCAATCAATGACCTCTTTAATTATATATTAATTACTCTGAGTTTCTATGTAGTTGGATTTTATGAAATAATATAATAACCAGTCATTCTTGTAAACGTATTTTTTGCAGTATGATGTTATGACCTTATGACATGACTTACGTGATTGTCACGTACGTTTAATCGAATGATTAACCAAATATATCAATAAACAGAAAGTGAAATTTGAATTTAAAATAGTATATAAAAATAACATTGAATTAAAGTTCAGAGAAAAATTCAGCGATTTCCAAAATTAAAATGAGGTTATACGCATATGCAGTGGTGTCCGAGTGGTTAAGGAGTTTGACTAGAAATCAAATGGGCTCTGCCCGCGTAGGTTCGAATCCTGCCCGCTGCGAACACACATTTTGTCGTCGGAATATGGATCAATGTTGAGGTCGTAATAATAACAATACGAATGATAAAAGCATTGATATCTCAATCATGCTACATGCAATGGCACTATGGAATTGCCAGTTATGTTTGAAAAGTTTGAATTGTTTGAATTGCCAATTATGTTTGAAAAATTTTCGTTGATCGGATTCAGTCATTATCTACTTATATTGCACAAGTAGATGATGCATACTGGATTTGTGATTATGGACTAGACGGATGAAAATACGTTCTTCCTTTCCATTTTACTCGAATTAACATTTCTAATGATGGTTTGTTGTTGTATAGCGGTATTATTTTAAATGTACCGTTTATTATGACAGTATTGATTATTCAAATTTTAGTGGTGAAACAAAATATGATATGGTTTTATTAGGCATTTATTATTATTTCAAATATACAATAATGAAATTAATCTAAGAAAAACAATAGGGAAATATTACTAACTAGTTTCACATCGGACGTTGATTTTTGTGAAGTTCAAAAATTTCAGGTATGTAAATCAATAGGAAGCACATTCTATTAAGTTAAGATTGCTGAAGAAGTTCAAAAAAAAGAGAGAGGTATAAAAATATTAAATAAACATCGTCACATCAGCAATGCAGTAAACTTTGTCGATATCGACATCTGGTATTTTTTGGGTGAATTGAGGAATAAGCTGATCTTTCTGAAGTGAGGAAAATTGTATAAGTCAAAAAGTGAAATCACAAATTAATTTTTAGTATTATAATTGGGCTAATTTATTGAAAAGCGATTTTTTTCTAGATTTCTTTTCTAAAAATCTATATGATATATTGAAGATCTGACAGACTCTTCGACAATGAATATTCTATTTTCTGTCGGAGGAAGATGATCAAAATCCATCTTCTTGATCCGAGCATATAGAATAATATGGGAAAAATAAAAAAAATTTTACCAAATCAAAATCAGCAGCGCCTTGAAGGATTTGTTGTACTGTACCTGACTTCGTCGTTGGCATAAATAAATTGATCTGATTATGCTCCTTGAGTTCTTCATCGAAACACGAATGTAAGACATGAAAAAGAAGTTTGAATCCATCATCCGAATCACAGTATATAGGTCCAAAGCTAGGATAACCAACGATTGATAATAAACGACCACAACCATAACCAACAATTTCATCTTTTTGATTCACCAGTATCTAAATGTCTTGCTTGTTGATTTACATTTGCTGAAGGCAAGATCAATGAACAATTCAAAGTAAATATGATCTTGAATGAATCAAAAAAAAAGCAAGCATGACTAGCAATTTCGGGAGCTTTTTAATACCTACGCTGAAAACTGTTTCACCATTCTAATCTGAAATGTAAAAAAGCAACCGAATAGCTACTATCGTTTATGTAGTAGGAAGCCTATTACTTTTTATCGGATAATTATTCATTCGCATATAATACCATATTTCTTCTTTAAAGGATTATAATATTAAGATTATTTGAATTTACAATTTCAATTTAAGCATACCTTACAGATGGCATCAATGCGGTCTACAGCCCACTGCCTAACGAAATCTTCACGTCGACACTTTGCAACTTTAGCATCATAATCAACAATTCGCTTTAGGCTTATTTCTTTGCTGTCTTTCACGATTAAATGAATATCATCAACTGCAATAAAATTATGGTTTACAATTTCAAGTGGAATTATTTGATTGAAGTAATTCATTTTGGGTATTCCTTATGATAAGTAACACTGCTTAATGATAGGATTATAATATCCTCCACTCACTAATATCTGAGTGAAATAATATCTAAATACTTTACGCAAAGCAAGCATAAAAATAAGTGACAATATTATGATCACATTGCTTCCTTTATCCATATTTAGTTATTGTATTTGATCTTATCAGTTTAACTAATAAATTATACCGCTCCTTTTACAATTGGCGAATTAGCTTATTAAAAATCTTCGGTTTATATTTTAAAAAATTAGAAAAAAGTGATTACAATTATGTAAATACCAATAATTTTTTGTTTATCAATATTTTTCACTTTCATTTTATCTATCATCCAAGGTGCCCGTTTGTTGAAACCAAGTTTTTTATCGTATATCGGCGACATAATCTGCACTAAAATATGCTTTATTGATCCTCGTTTATTGCTTACTTATAAATGTTTTTATATTCAAAAGTTATGAGAGAAATTTACAATTTTAAATTGGAAAAATTTTGAACTAACCAGCATTTAGTCCAATGTTTTTCTTTCGCACATTATCATTAACAACACGTTTGAACAATTCAGTTCCTACGCCTCGTTTTCGATATTCAGGGCGTATGTAGTATAAAGACACAAATGCATAATTATCAAATTCCAGACATATACATGATCCAACATAATCACCAACTATAATTTAATATCATTTAAAAATCAACAATACAAGTTTGTGCAAATCATTTATGATATTTTGGATAACTTTTTTTTTTGGATTATTGTGATCAGCCTGAAAATTGATGTTGAAAAAAAATATAGGATATGAAGGTACATTTAAATCATATGGACACATTCTTCATTGAGATAAAATAGAATGATCCGGTTAGTAGTTTCAATAAAAAAAGGATACGGAAATTAATAGAAAAAAAGTTCAGTTTAATTTTAGTATTCTTTTTCGTTAAATTTATTTGCTCTCTTCTTGTTATTTCAATTTATCGGAAACAAAAAATATGAATGAAAAATATTAGAGCTAACTTTTTGTCCTTGCAGCAACATCATGTAATTTTGTAGGACCCAACATTTTTCTATAACAATCATAGTCGCGATATTTTCGTATCCAACCATCGGTTTCATTACTGGCATTAATTAAACTCACGAAATCCTCCTTTCCACCACGTGCATATATTATCTCAGGTACTGTTGTCTTCTCATTATCATCATTTTCCATCAATTCCTTATCATTCAATTCTTTCGTTTTTTCTTCTTCACTTGTCATTTCCACTTTCTCAATTATATAATTTCTCAATAAAGCATCATCATTATTCCCTTAAAAAATCAAACATATCAAAGACACAATGTAGCCATAGGGAAATTTTCATTTTAAAACATATAACAATTAGGTATGCAATGCCTAAAAGTTTACTCTTACATATTACATACATTATCTTCTGAAGGTGAACAATAAGACTTAACAGAAATGCATTTTCGAGAAAAGCTATGCTTCCATTTTCAGTTATTAATTTCATTAGTAAAACTTTTCTAAACGGATTAGAGAGAAAGAAAAAAGGATGAGAAAGATTTTTAAAGTTATTTTATTGTTGTTACTTACTACTTTTACTTATTTGCATTGCAAATCAAAATTACTCCTAAATTCAGGCATATAAAAAAGAAGTTTGTACAGAACAGTCCTAATGATACTTCCAAATATAGGCCTATAAAAAGAAGTTTGTAAAGAACAGTCCTAATGAGAGGAATAATTTCGCTAGTAATCATAATGTCTATCCTCAAAAATATTATCATTGATTAAAATTCCTCTTTTCATTCCTACTACTTACTTACTTCATTTAAATGAATAAGGAATATTTATTGACATATAACTAGCCTAGGAATAGGCTTGATGAGAAATGAAGATTTTTCCTATCTCTTCTCTAAGCTCTTCTTCAGTAGTGCCTTAAAAAAAAACGATATAGCAAATTGAAAATGAAAGTAACATTTACAGAAAACATTATATCATCGAGAAGAATTAAAATCATTTTCGTTAAATTAATTAAGCTAATTAAACTGATAACTTTAGAATTTTTCATGCATATTTTTTTTAACTTAAAAAAATGTCAAATTTATTCGATGCAAAAACATCATTGTTTTAATAAACAAATCGATAGGAATAATTCATACAAGTATTATCTATCTATCAGTAATATTAATTAATAAACTTAAATTATAGAAATTAAAATTAAAATAATTAATTTAATAAAATAGGAAAAAATTGATTAATAAAATTAAAATAGAAAGAAAATTTTTTTTTGAAATTTTAACAAAGAAGTTTTTTTATAGTTATAATAATAATAATAATAATAATAATATTATAATAATTATTATATTGTTATAATAATAATAAATAACAATAATAATAATAATCTAATCATAACGATAACTATACAACACAATATAACAAAAAAGAAAAGCTAAGGTAAATATAATAATAATTAAATTTGTCAATGAAGTATGTCT